ATTTTACTGCATGTGTTTGAATACAAAATAATTTCTTGTTGCAGTCTTAAAATTATTCTTTAACGTTTTAACATTACAAAAACAGGGTTTTCCCCTTTTAGTTTTCATGTCTTTGTTAGAACATGGGGCACAAGTACTGTCCCAATTTTCCAGATTTTGCATGCTTGTAACATGCACACTCAAAACCTTTAGTATACTTTCTTTTTGTGCACACTTCATAAATGAGGGTAGGGTTTATTATGAAAACTGGGCCACTGATGTCTCTCAATCCAACACACCACCATTTTGTTAGGCCAGCTACAGGCTAAGCAATTACCATAACTATGCATTATTAGCATACATTTGGAATTGTTAAACTATAAATTTCTTTTTTGATTATTTTTTGATGGCATCCGATAAACAGAGGTGTAAATTTACTCTTGACAATATTTCTGAGGCGAGATATGTTTCAAAGATGTATTTAGTTGTTGGAATTGTGTCAAGATCTTGGCACTGATGGCTGGCTTAATTACTCATTCCATTCACCTGTCTACTCTGCTCCGTTTCTCTTCCCTGCTCATCTGATCCACCTGCTCCTCCCTTGTTTAAAGTGCCCGTATCCAGTTATCAAGCACAGTCCTCCCTTCTTCTTGTTCTTCTTGTTCTACCTAGCTAGTGATGAGAGTGTTTTATGCCTCAGACCTACTGGCAGCTGCTACTGCAGATCTGCTGCCCATTGTTTTAATAAATGCTTTTTGACTAATTCATTGTCTGTCTGGCCTTCAATAATGGGTCCTCTGTTTTGAGCCATGACAAATTGATGTTTACAGAGCTCATAGAATTGAGCTAGAAAACAACCATGATGGACGTCCATGTATTACATCTGGACATTTATAACTATTTAGTGAACACAAAATGGCTACACTTAGTAGCAGCTAAAAAAAATCTTTAAAAATCTTTAACCATTGTTTATCCTCTTTTTTAACCAAATAATTATAGAGGGAGCCATGTGTACATTAGTTATGTTAAAGGGATGTAAATATGAAATTCATATATCAAAACAGGAGTGTTCTTTTTAGAGTTTATAATTATTTTTACGTAACATTATAAGAGACTGAAAAGCAGGTTATCCAGGTCAGTCCTCCCTCTTCCTGTCTCCTGTGTTTTTTGATGTTACATTTGACTAACTTACATAGTAGAAAAGGGGTATTCTAACTGTTCAGGTGCAAGAAAAAAAGCAAAGTACAGACATAAAAATATTGAATTTACCCTATTCCTTTTTGGTCCAAAAAAAAAAAAAAATCAGTGGTCGAACATGTGTTGTTTGATCTTTAGATAATCGGCCTCAATACGACATTTTAGCATATAACATTTGGTTTTAATCTAATTTATGCACAATATAGGGGCAGACAGTGGTAATGGCAACGAGTCTTTGCTCTGGATAGAATAACTGACTCCAAAATTGTCACCTGTTTAAAGTCTGGGTTTAATGGGAAAGAATACGCACTCAGATTTGGTGAAGGGCTTCTGCATGGTGGTGGGTGGCAAAAGATACTTTTGACCTGTTTGGGAATGGTAACCGAGTTTACTGCTGCTGATCTATTGTGTGTTTCTGTGTACATGGGTATTCTGTTGTTTATTTTTGTCCCACCTTGCTGTACGGAGACTTTCCCTAAGGGGACACAATAAAGTATTTCTGATTGTTATATCAATTTTCAGCGTTTGACTTTAATTTTTCACAGCCTGGTACACACATTTCATAGAAGCCAACAGGGAACCTTTCAGAAGTGTGATAAGAACTACTAAGACAAAAGTCAATCTCTGCTGTTCTTACTTTATGTTTTCAGAATTCTTGGCCTTTAAGAAAATATTAACCTGAAGAATAAGGAGTGCATAGTACACAATGTTTTCTCCTCGCTCTCATCTGACAGGCACTACAAAACCCTTGAATGCCATTCTTCAAGGCAGTAAAATAGTCATTCTTTGCTTTGTTGTTTAATGTATGTCATATAATGTAGGCCATGTAAAACAGAATGCATGTATGACTAGACGGATGTGTGTTCCGGTTCTTGCATTTTCAATTCATCATCAAATTTTTGCCCTGTGATACCTGCCAACCTTTCTAGGGTGTACCCAACCTTGCCTAATGCCTTAATGAGATAATTACCGCCATCCTCTGACCCTGAAAGGACAAGTGGGTCTAGAAAACTGCATTCTGATGATTTATGTTCTTTCATAAACTTGAAGTCTGTAGCTTTGGACATTATTATTGACTCTAAATCAAGTTTTCAAAAAGAAAACTCACTCTCCATCTTGTTTCTAATTTTTTTTTCAGACAAAGAACAAAAGAAAATCACTTCATTGATTAGTAACTATTCATGTTCTGTTTAAGGAGAGAAAAGGGATTCTTGTTATTTACCTCAAAGTTTATGGAAGGCAGAAAGTGAGCGGGGTCATTTCAAACATTTCTGATGCAAACTTAGAAAATAGCCAGAAACTCTACTATTTCAATTTCTGACATCAGGTCTCTGTGAACTTTGGAACTTAATGTGGTGGTACTCTTCACTGTTATGGACTGAAGTGAGGGCTGTGCTCATGGGCAAGTTTTTCTGGTTTGGAGGCAAACAGAGAGCAAGTGACACAAAGCATTAGAAGACCTTATATGCTTTTTTCATACATATAAAATGAGCATTACAACTACCTCCACTCTGGACGCAGATGAAGCATTTGAACTGAAGCTACTCTATTAGGGACAGAATTTACAAAGCAGACATGTACACTCAGTTGAACAGCAATACATACAGTAGGTCAGTTTTGCAGGACATGGTCCTACAAATGTCATAAAACCTGTTGATTTGTAAAGCAGAGCATTATAATAATGCATATAACTATAGAAATTTATGTGAATTTCTTTTTGATTTTCTGTGATACCTGCAGCCTTTGGGTTAGCCCCTTTAATGCTACAGTAACAAGATGTAACGCCAGTTGAGGCTAGGCGCCTGACTACGGCCAAGTTTGTTGGTATGGCAATCAGAAAGATTCGACTGCAGAGCCTGTGTGTGAATAAACACCATCTGACAGAAAATAAAGTGAAGTTGTTGTATTTTAATGCATACTTTTTCATATGTTTAAGTAGGTATTGAATAATAATATATTTTTTTATAAATATAGACAAAGAAAACAACAATAAAAAACAAATAAATAAACCCTGATGAGGCAAAAGAGGTTTTCTTCCTCTTATTCAAGTCCGTGGTTTTGTTTTGTTAAGGTGATTAATGATTCACCAAACAAGAGTCCATCTGGTTTAGTCCATGATCCAAGGGAAGGGAAAAGAAAAAAAAAATAATTGCATCCTACCGCAAAGCTGCGGTGATCTGGTGGTAGCTCGCCATCCTGACGTGAGACAGTGGGGGGAAAAAAAACCCGACCGTCGAGTGGTTGTCACAGCACACTTAATGCAATGCTTTTGGTTGTTAAAAACGCCAGCATGAGTAGCTAGCCACAGCATTAGCAGCAACAGAGGAGGTCCGAGTTCACCTTCGA